AGTGTCCTGGTGGGAGGGGCACACTTCTCCAAGGTACATGGGTGCAGTCCCTCCCCCATTTCCTTAACTCAAGTCTCTTTTTAAATTATCTTTTATAAACAATGAGATATTTGGCAATGTCAATACAAATGGCATATTGATTGCTGATTTCCTAATGCAATTTCTGTCCTATAATTAATTGTCTTTTGTAAGTGTTAATGCCCACCAGACTTGGCTTCAATAAAGCCCACCCACCCCATTAGGTTGTGTACCTTCCTGACCTGGGTTAGGCTGCACCAAGCCATGCTGAGACCATCTTAAGGAAGTTTTTAATTTCTGTTTTGAAATTGTTATTTTCTAGATGACAGAAGTCACACTTTAATCACCAGACCAGTGCTTATTTTTTTAGAGGAGAGATTAAAGCAATTTAATTAAAAAGTATTGTTTTGTTTTGACTATGGTCTTTGTTACTAATATACCTATCTTTAAAGAATTGGGAATGCCACAGGTCAAGGTGTCTTCTAACTTTTAAAAACTTGAATATTATTAGTTATGTGTTTTAAGTGATTAAGCAGAAGTGTTAAACCTGTTAAAATGGCACACTAATCCCTGTCCTTTAAGGACCTTGTGTACTCTACTCATTGGAGAGACCTCAGGACAGTTTGGGACAAAGGGAAAAAGACTGCAGGTGGTTGTCGCAGGGGAGGGGGCCTAAAAGATGGGAGGTGGGAAAGCAGGGGGATTGGACATAGCAGGGGAGGGGGGAGAAAGCAGAGGGATTGGACATAGCAGGGGAGGGGGCGTAAAAGATGGGGGGGATGCAGGGGGATTGGACAAGGGTGATGAACAGGTGTCATGTGGGATGACAGTTTTCCTCTTTTTTAAACAATATTCTATTGATTAAAAATTAGCTGCTTTCCACCTAACTTTTCTAATTAACATTTTTTAATCTTTTTTTTGTTTCATAGAATTTAACAGTACCCATTTTCACCTTGACTGATCAGAGAAAAATAAATTTAAAAAGTATTTTTAAACTTTTGTTTGTTCAGAAGTTTTAAACTTTATGTCATTAAACTTTCATTGAACTTTTTAAATTAAAAGTTTGTAACTATTAAAAAGTTCAAACTTTCAAAAACAGAACTTTAAAACTTTCTGAAGTTTCAGGCTTTAAACTTAAAAGTTGTTTGTAGTTCAAACTTTTAAAAAGTTTTTTTAACTTCAGTAAACTTAGTTAAACTTTTAAAAAAGTTTGCTAACTGTCCAATTTCAAAGTTTGTAAAACTTTAATATCTTATTCTTTACTATAACTACTTTAATTTTCCCAATTTGAGATTTGAGATCCTTATTAATCCATAATTATCTAATTGTACTTAACTTTTTTTTTTTAGGAAGTACACTACCTCATTATGAAAACATTTCACCTCTGCCCCACCCATATCCACTCATCTTTTTGAAGTCCAGGTCTATCCCACCTTAATTTTCCAAGCCTGTGGGTGGGCCCTACCGAAAATCTCAATTAAAATCTAAAGGCTACACTGGTGACCTGTAGTATAAATAAACTTCTGTATTTCTTTGACTAATTTTAATTAATAAATATAATAAAGTATATTTTTAAGTGTCTAATTCTGAGTATCCAAGCTGCTATACTTATAGCCCCTTCCCACTTATAAGAAAATTACCCTTTTTAAATTAATAAACTTATTATCAAGCTAACAGGTATAATTCAGTGATTTATACATTATTTAATTAAGTCATAATTAAATTTGTTATACTATTACCAGGCATCACTAAGAAAAGATGTCTTATTGTATAGCCTATTTCTTCCTAGGAGGCATCAATTAATATTTGATTAATGATTGCTTAATAAGGTAAACTGACATCCCTGTGTACTGTTCAGTGCCATTTCTGTCCCATAGACAATTCTGAGTACATTTCTTGTGGTCATAAAAGCAATTAGAAAGCCTTGTGTTTGTGATAGTGGTTGGTCGACTTCATAATTAGACCTTCGGTGTTAAGTGTGCACGTCTGCTGTGACCTTTGGCCAAGTGTGTACTTGATTTTTTTCAGAGCTGGTGAATACAGGCATTGTGGTTCTGATACCCACCTCTTTTATGTGTGTGGTTTCTTATTGATTAGAGTATTAGTTGTTTTTTCCTAACACCTTTATTAATAAAAGGTATGGTGTTGGAATTATTTACATAATGTAGAATCATTTTGCATAATTTATTTCCTATTTATCTTTGCCTTGGAAGTTTCTTGCTGTGTAACCTCTATACAAAAGGAGTTGTTTACAATTGTGTGCTTTCCCTTAGAGCTTGTAAAGGTGACTGGGCTTCTGATAAAGGTCATGTATTAATTATAAGGAGCAGGTGACTTTTTTATGAGAACAGTCATTTGGATGTCTGGACATTGAGAGGTGGTATGCTTTTTATTATTTTGTGAGTGATTTCTTCATCCTCTTTTAAGGGTCTGTGTTCTGTTGACTAATTATCAACTGATAATTATCAAAAGAGATTTGAAAAACTAAATGCTTGTTTATAGCGACTGCTTTGGATGTATATGTTGAATGTATGCTTTTGCTGTCATTTACAGGAACAAGCGTGTTTTGAAAACGAAGAGGAGCCGCCGACCACGAGGGGCACCCTCCCCAGAGTGAGGCAACACCTGGGAGGTTCCCTCCCACCACCACCATGGCTGCGGCGGGTGGTTTCGACTGCCCGCCCCCTCCTCCTCCTCCTCCCCCCAACAACAACAACAACAACAACAAGCCCAAGAGCTCCAGCGTGCCCAACAACAACCAGCGCCGCCGCCGCCACCACCACCACCACCACCACCACCGTGGTGAGACCTCTGAAGATATCAGCAGCCTCAGAGCACAGGTGGTCAGGCCGTCCCCGAGGAACAACAGCCTGCACCCCCAGGTGGACATATTCACAGGCCATAACGGCGGTCTTCGCAGTCTTCGTGATCACGTAGAAGTCGAAGTTGAACCAGAACCTGAACAGGTTCATTTCCACATCCCTGTAGAAGACAGTGAAGATGACCTTGAGCTCCAGGGTGCTGCAGCGGCCGCTACTCCAGCAATCTTCTTTGAGGATGACTGCCTTGAAGACCTTCCTGAGAAGTTTGATGGCAACCCTGACATGCTGGGTCAGTTCATTTCCCAGTGCCAGCTCTTCATGGAGAGAAGCACCAGAGATTTCTCTGCTGATCGTATCCGTGTATGCTTCGTGACAAGCATGCTGACCGGCCGAGCCGCCCGCTGGGCTTCTGCTAAGCTGGAACGATCCAGTTACCTGATGCACAACTACCGTGCCTTTATGATGGAGTTGAAGCATGTCTTTGAAGACCCTCAGAGACGTGAAGCTGCCAAGCGCAAGATCAGACGTCTGCGCCAGGGCATGGGATCTGTTGCCGACTACGCCAACCATTTCCAGACGGTTGCCCATGATCTGGATTGGAATGAGCCTGCTCTAATTGATCAGTTCCTTGAAGGCCTCGGTGACCAAATGCATGAGGAGCTGTCTCGCCACGAGCTCCCAAGCACCCTGTCGGCTCTGATCAGTCTTGTCATTCACATTGAGAGAAGACAGGCCCGTGCTGCTGCTGCTCGCAAACCCCGATCTGATCCACCCAGGGCCCTAGTGATGCCTCAGAACCACCATCCTGATCCTACTGAGCCCGTGGGAGGTGCCCGCATGCGCCTGACCCAGGAAGAAAAAGAAAGACGCCGCAAACTGAACTTATGTCTATACTGCGGCAGTGGAGGCCACTACGCTGACAACTGTCCAGCGAAGGCCTCCAAAAATTCACCGTCGGGAAACTCCCCGGCCCCGCTGTAGAGGGACCTTCAGCGACAGGGCCAGAAGAAATAAGGTCCCCACCCCCCGAGGCTTCGACTCCGCACCTGCAAGTGATGCTCCAGATCCATATCCCGGGCCGACACACCCTGTTTGTCCGAGCTATGATTGATTCTGGCGCATCCGGCAACTTCATCGATCAAGACTACGTCATCCAAAATGGGATTCCTCTAAGAATCAAAGAATGGCCAATCATGGTGGAAGCGATAGATGGGCATCCTATAGCCTCGGGCCCAATTGTTCTAGAAACACACCACCTGATTGTTGACCTGGGTGACCACCGAGAACTACTGTCTTTTGATGTGACTCAGTCTCCGTTCTTTCCCATTGTCCTGGGAATTCGTTGGCTGAGCACACATGACCCTCACATTACCTGGAGCACTCGCTCCATTGTCTTCAACTCTGATTACTGCCGATTTCGCTGCCGGATGTATTCCCAGATACCTCCTGCTCTGCTGCTACCACCTTATCCTCCACATCCACCGTTCTTCTACCATGTGGATGGATACAGAGTTTTCCACCCTGTGAGGTATTACTACGTCCAGAATGTGTACACACCTGTGGATGAGCACGTCTACCCGGGTCACCGGCTGGTTGACCCCCACATAGAGATGATCCCTGGAGCGCACAGCATTCCCAGTGGACATGTGTACTCATTGTCTGAATCTGAAATGGCTGCCCTGCGAGAATTCGTGGACAGGAACGTGAAGAATGGACTTATGACTCCGACCGTCGCTCCCAATGGAGCCCAGGTCCTGCAAGTGAAGAGAGGGTGGAAACTCCAAGTCACGTACAATTGCAGAGCTCCACACAACTGCACAGTCCAAAATCAGTACCTTCGCATGACTCTTCCAAACATGGCGGATCACGCACACCTGGCAACCTATGGTGAATTTGTCCCTCACGTTCACGGATACCACCACCATCATCACCATATCCCTGCCTATGCCACCTACGCAGGTCATCAAGTGATGTTTGCATGGTACCCAGTGGGACGAGATATACATGGAAGAATGATCCTCATGCCTGTTGTGATCACCTGGTGTCCACATTGGTACCGCCATCATCCTCATCCGGTACCCCAGTATCCTCCTCCGCAGCCACCACCTCCGCCGCCGCCGCCTCCGCCACCACCTCCACCACCTCCATCCTACAGTACCTTGTAAATACCTGTCATGTCCTTCGGAGTGTCTCTGCCCTCAACTTTATCCTGTGCAGCTTCTCAATCAATGACTGTGTGCTACTGGATCTTCAGACCACCTGAGGCACAAAGGCACGCAGGGCTAAAGTCAGTTTTCCATCTTGACTGCCAGTTAGTAAGTTGACATCTCAATCACAGACTGGCAAATTTCTTTACAGAGAAGCTGATGCAAACACAGGACCTGCTGATTTCATACAGAGGGGAGGAGAGGAGGAGGAAGGACACGCCCTGCCCGCATCCTAGGACGGGCGCCCTTTGCAGGAAGCCAGACTTTCTGGTGCAGCATGTAAAGGCTTCCGTGATGATCTTGCTGCACCCTCCGGAACTTCATCGACTTCAAACTCCAGTTTCTTGGTTCTGTTTGTTTTCAAGGAGCAGCAGCTTGACTGGTTGTCTGCAACAGGAAACACCTCAGCTCGAAAAGGAAGTTCACAGATCCTGGTGACTGGCTGGAGAGTGGGGAAATGCTTTTGCACCCAGACCCACACTCCTGCCATGGAAGTTGTGTTTGAAAGAGAAGAATTAGACACTGGACATTGTCTTGAAGATACAGGCTTCTTAAGAATGAGGCTCTTGCTGCTGCCTTGAGCCATGTGTCTAACTTCTTTCTTTTTGTTTGATTCTCTACTACTGCCATTAACCCTGCTGCAGGATTTGCCACCTTCCTGCCTGACTGCTGAGACTCAGTCTCTAGTTCAGTTTGAGCAGTAGGACACAACATGGTTTTTTGTCTTCACGGTGAAGTTTCTTTTTCCATCAACATCATCTCTCCCCTACCCTTGCATGTTTAAGTAGTTTAGTAGATTTTTTTAAACATTTTATTTTCAAGTGTTGGCTATGCTTTCAGAATTTCCGTTGAATTAGAAAGTATACATACAATCGAAATTCTATTAATTGGGCCTTTAAAATTCACAAAAAAATGATATACAAATTTGCGGACCCCTAATTGGCTCTTGATTCCTGCTCAGTGGGATCAGAAAGCTTGCCAGTCATCATGTTTTACATTAATTACTTTTAAATGGTGCATTTGTGCTTCTGATTTTTGTGAAGCGTCACTTCAGTTTACCTCAGAACTCAGTTTCATCCTTCATGCATTTTCATTGATTTGATCTTCAAGCTGCAGAGGGCCTAGAAGTGGGCCGTCTTCTGCAGCCCTGGCATATACACACGGACATTTGCCGCCACTGCAAGCAGATATCTGGAGAAGCTGAGCACGACAGTCAGGGAGTGCATGCTGGTGTGGGCCCGCAGCTCACAGACAACATCCCTGACACACACTGGATTGTGTTTTGAAGCTTGCCATTGACTTTCGGCAGTGTGTACTATGCTGTATTCCTATGTACTAGCTATAAGGGTTAGGTGTTAAGGATAAGTTTCAATTTACTGAAATTTTGTTAAGTTTTCTTTTATTTTGTTAAGTTGTTAAGTTTTCTTTTAGTTTGTTAAGTTGTTAAGTTTCCTTTTGTTTTTCTTCTGTTGATCAAATTTACATTAATTGTTCCTTTTTTCTTTTATTTGGCATTTCCAACAAAAAATGCCCTTATTCATTTATTAAGAAGAAAGATAAGTTGGAAAAGGAGGAAAATACAAATTGACAAAATTAACTAATTGGCTGTGGGCCCAAATTTCAATTTTTCTTAATTAATGACAAAGAGGATGTGAGAGTTCCTGTTGCTGGTCATGAAGGTCATCATGAAGGGTCAGTTTGGTTTGAACCAGGAGGCGTTTGGCTGAGATGCTAATTTGAGAGGGGCATCTGTATGGTGCAGTCTAGAGTTGTGTTTAAGTTTGCAGGTACCTCTTGGACTCCTGAACTGACCTGGTTGTCACGCATCATCAGCATCCTGCATCTCACACAGTTCCGAGATTGGCAATGGAGAGCACCCTGTTGGAGAGGCCTGGACAGTCATGAAGGACCACCTGCGGAAGAGAAGAGTCTGCAGGAACTACGCTACATATTCAGCTGGAGAGGGAACACGCATCTGATGGGAATGGAAGCTTTTGGTTGTTTCAGATTGTAGAACATTTATGAGTTGGTCTTGAACATTGCATTGTTTTTCTTTTTTTTTCTATAGTCAATTAAGTAATAGGGGATACATAATCATTAAGAATTTTAGGCTGGGAGGGATTATTAAGTAATCTTAGGTGGGTGGGTAAGTTGGGATAAATTAGGATAAGATAGGATAAATTAGGATAAAATAGGATAAGTTAGGATAAGATAGGATAAGTTAGGATAAGATAGGATAAGTTAGGATAAGTTAGGATAAGATAGGATAAGTTAGGATAAGATAGGATAAGTTAGGATAAGATAGGATAAGTTAGGATAAGATAACAATAAGTGGACGAGTGTACTTATTTGTCCCTCTTACCCCTCCCTACAATTTTACCTTTAAAATTCTACTCAGAGGGAACTGCAGGGAAATCAACATTCTATGAGTGAATTAGACATGGAAAAATTCTAGTGAAAGTTCAAAGATGATTAGATCAGTCTAATAAAGGCCCAGGAATTATCTCCAGGGATAGATTGTGAGTCAAACTTTGAGAGGCATATTTGAGAAACTGTTACTGGAATAAAGCTTGTAATGCTGAATGATAAATATTCATGGAAATTGTAAGAAAGTGATGAATAAAATCTCTTGTTCTTTCCTTGTCAGTAGCCCTCCTCCCCTCCCCACCCTAACCCCACCCCTTCTTCCCTCCCCCTCCCCAACCCCACCCTTCAAACTATATTACTGTATTCTCTTTACTATATTGATGTTACAATAAAAATTCAATAAATAAAGACTTAGTGGTTAAGGCAAATTGTGTCCTGATCATTTCAGCGCCCACCCATCATCAAGGATGGAGGGAGGAGCAGTGGATGGGTCCGGAGTGATAACCGGTGGGAACTAGGAAGTAAAGGGGTTGGGGGGACAAATGGGAAAAGAGGGTGGGGAAGGGTGGGTTTGGGAAAATGTTTGGGATAAGGTTGGCATATAAGCAATCGGTCACACAGTTCATCATTAATAATGTACCAATCAGTCACACAGTTCATCACTAATAATATATCAATCGGTCACACAGTTCATTGATGATATACCCAGAATACTCCAAGATATCGACTAGTTCATTCCAGCTGTGACATTAGCCAAATATTCACCACACAGCAACTCCAGTAATGTAATTATTCATCTCAGTATGACTTGGAATACTTGAGATTTATTATATATTAGAGGGGGAGGGACCTCTGAGAACGAAAGGGAAGAACAAGGGTAGAAGAATGGGAGATGGGGCAGGAAGGTGGAGGTTGACGCACTATGGAACATACCAATCACATAGACTTATCAATGATATACCCAGACTACCCCAGCAAACCAATTTATTCCACTTATAAAATGCATATATAAGGAAGCAACCGATCCATAGTGATTACAATGACACAACCTTAGTGGAAGTACTTCTTGGAACAACTGAGATTTATGAGTGGAGGATGGGCAAATAAGACCACAAGGCAGAGTGGGGGATGGAAAGTGGTGACAGGAGGGGTACAAGTTGAGTAAATTTGGAATGGGGTTTTATATGAAGAATACATCAATCACAGAGCCTAGTAATAATACATCAAGAATATCCCGGGAAATAAGTGTATTCTAGCAGCAAAAGACCAACATGTAAACCCACCAATTAATGATAATTCCAGTGACATAACACTGGTATAATTCAACATGATTGGAGTTCTTGATATTTGTTAGTTGAGATGGGGAAGGAAGAACTGAAGGGAGAGTAAAGGTGTGGGGTTAGTAATCCAGCCGGGAGGGTGGTGGGTAGGAAGCATGTCAATCCCACTCATACAACTCGGTAGCAATATCGCCCAAAATATCCAAGGAAATCAATTTACGTGTTTCAGATGCAAAACATGAGTATCTGTGGTAATAAAGTCACCAAATAAAATCAAGTTCATGGACATAATAAACCTCAATACTAATAGTACTTGAAATAATTAGGATTTACTTACTTAAGTGGAATTGGGGGCCAGCAAGATGGCTCAACTGATAAGGTTGCTTGCTGCCAAGTCGGACAACCTGGACTGGATCTCTGGACCCTACCTGGTGGATGGAGAAGACCAGTACCTACTAGCTGACCTTTGACCTCCATAAGCTCAAAGTGGGACAATGGTGTTCCTCCCTCTTCATACAAAATAAATGGAGAGGGAGAGAGAGTAGATGAACATTTGGGGGCAGAAAACAGTGAATGTGGGGATTGAAGGGCAAGAAGAGAGGTTGGAGTTGGGTGTGGCTTTGGAATGGGGATGGTGCATAAAGAGTATCAATCACATAACTCATTATCAATTATATGCCTAGAACACCCAAGGGATCAGCTGAATTCCAGATGCAAAATATTAGCAGATATGATAAGGCCAACAATTAATAGTGACTTCCTTAATCATAAAACATTATTAAATGGAATACTTGAAATTAATTAGAGTGGAGATGGAAGGACACTGAAAAGAGTGGGGGAGAGTAATGATGTAAAGATAGAAGATTAATAATGGGGTGAATTAAGGAGAGGATTGTTGTGTTTTAAAAAATGTCAATCACACAACCCAGAATACCCGAGGATGTTACCTGATTTTACATTATCATGTAGGAAACAATACCATGAATAGCAAAGAAATCAGTTTCTCCTGTGACATAATGAATCTTACCTTTAGTATCAATATTGGAATAGTTGAGGCTTATTTATTAGAGTAAAGAGGATACTATAATGGGGAGAAGGGAGGGGAGGGAGAAGGGAAGAAAGAAGACAGTGAAGAAAGTGAGAGATGGGATTGAAAATGAAAGGTGGGACTGGATGTGACATTGAGATGTGAGGGTATATAAAGAACACATCAATCACAGTCCAGATCAATTGTACACTCACAGCCTCCAAGACAATAAGTATACTGCAGTTGTAGGCTATTAATATATTAATAATAAAGTCATCAATAATGACTTCATTGGTTATACATATTTAATATTAATTAAGATAGTTTAAAATTATCAGTAAGTGGAAGAGTGAAAGAGAGGAAGGGGTGTAGGGTTAGGAAAAAGAGAATTGGAAAGATGGGTGGTGGGAAGAGAGAGGATGGGGGTGCATAACAGATGTGTCAATCACACAACTAAGGACCAATGACAATCAACATACTACACCAAAAAGCAACATAAACAATAAATATATTAATAATAGTATCTTTAAAGAAATAGTAAATTTATTTTAGTATCAATTTTCTTTGAATACTTCAGCCTTATCAATAGGAGTAAAGGGAAGTAGGAGAGTGGAGAATGTGATGGGGAGGGTAGAAGGGCATAAAGGACAGAGGAATGGGATACGTACCAAGGGATGGGTCTGAGAGGGGAGTGATAAATAAAGAAGATATCAGTCACACACAGTGCAGTATCAACCATGTACCCAGAATGCCCCAGAAAGTAAATTAACATATTCCAACTGCAAAATATTAACATATGGAATAATAAATCTAGCAACAAATGTCAGTGATGTAAGAAAAGACAGCTTCCCCTTTTTTTATTAAAAAAATACTTTTCATTTTACATACCAGCCCCATTTCCTCCTTCCCCCTCCCCTCCCCATCTCTCTTCCCCTTTTCATTCCCCATCCACTCCTCAGAGAGGGTAAGACCTTCCTTGGAGAGCCAACAAGGTCTGGCAGGGCCAAGCCACTCCCCCGTATCAGGGTTGAGCATGGTATCCCACCATAGGGAATGGGCTCCAAAAAGCCAGCTCATGTACCTGGGATAGGTCCAAGTGCCACTACCAGCACCCCCCGCCCCATAGATCAAACCACATATCTGTCACCCATATTCAGAGGATTTAGTTCGGTCCCGTGCAGCTGGCAGTCCATAGTACATGATCTCCTCACTAGCTCGGGTCAGCTGTCATCATGTTCTCGACTGCCTTGTTCATATGATCCCTCCTCCCTCTCTTCAACTAAAGTTCAGGAGCTCAGCCCAGTGCTTGACAATGGGGAAACGACAGCTTTTAATATAAGTATTACATAAAATTATTGATCTTCTTTTCATTGGAGAGACAAGTAGTGGGGGTATCACAAGAAGAAAGGGTGGGGGAGACAAGAGTGAATTTGAAATGGGGTGATGTATAAAGGGTGCATCAACCATACACAGTAAAACACTCAGGATGCTCCAGGATAGCTAATATGTTACAGTGGCAAAAAATAAACAGGGACTGGAAGGGTGGTGCAGAGGATCCAGACTTTACTCTGCAAGCTTGAAGATGTAAGTTCAGATCCCCAGAATATATGTGCCCAGACTCACACACAAAGGCATCTCACAATACACATCCGAGGTTTTTTTTTTTTATAAAGTTATATTTAAAAAATTGTATTTAATATAAATTTTTTGGAGGTTTAGCAACAAGTTGAAAGGGAAGGGTATAGGGAGTGTAGGCAGTGAGGGGTAAAATGTAGGGGTGGGCATGGGAGAAGAGAGTGAGTGGGTGGAAAGAATGTGAGTTGGGGTGAATTATAAACACACCAGTCACACAGCCTATACACACTAGCTGCCAAACTTTAACATACAAATTAAAGTCACATATGACTCTTAATAATTAAACAATATTCACTTAGCAATGCCAATTTTGCTTGAGAATTTTAAGATTTGTTAATAAAGTTTAAGAAAATCAGTCAGTAAGTACAAGGACCATTGAAAGTGGGAAGCAGAGGAGACTAGGGAGTCTACAGAAATGGGCAGAGTAAGGAGGGTGAGGAACTGGGGTGAGCTTGGAATTGTGGTGATGTGATTAGGTCAATTTTAACCCAGTATAGACCCCATTCCCAGACTTCCTCCAATAAACTGACTGAAAATTTATTCCAACTTTCAAACTGTAACACATAAAGTAAGTCAGCATCAATAGTGACTGTAGACACAGATCAAGCTTTAGTTTTAACTCAAATTTTGCTTAGAATACTTCAGATTTGAAAACAATTGAGAGCGTGAGACAGTGAGAAGACAGTAGAAGGTGAGGAGACAGGAGAAGCTATCCGTGGGTGGGGCTGGGAAGGGAGGCAGTATAAAGAAGACACCTGTCTTAGTTAGGGATTCAGTTGCTGTGTAGAGTCACCATGAATGACCATGGCAACTCTTATAAAGGAAAAACATTTAACTGGGGCTGGCTTACAGGTCAGAGGTTTAGTCCATTTTCGTCATGGCAGGAATCATGGTGGCATGTAGGCAGAAATGGTAGTAGAGAGGTAAAGTTCTGCATCTGGAACCTCAGGCAGCAGGAAGATCCAGTGAGGGAGTAGGCCTAACCTGAGCTTCTAAAACCTCAAAACCCACCCTCAGTGGCACACTCTCTCCAACAAGGCCACACCTCCTAATAGTGCCATTCCCTATGAGCCAAGTGGATATTTTCATTCAAACTACCATGTGGTAGGCATTCCTCTCCTGGTCTCTATAGGCATATAGCCATATCATAATGCAAAATGCTTCCAGTCCAGTTTTAAAGTCCCCATAGTCTATCACAGTCTCAACAACGTTTAAAATTCCAAAGTCTCTTCTGAGATTCATTCAGTAATTTCTTAACTATAATTGTAAGAATTTATGGTGCAGGTGACCTTGCTGGTATGGGGGACCACAGGCCAGTAAGGGACAGGCAGATATACCAAGAAGAGAGGTCTTGTGTGTGGAGAGTTTATTTAGTGGGCATTGAGAGGGTATAAGGGTAGGGGAGGTATAGGAGAAAGAGAGAGAAATAGAGAGACAGAGAAAGAAGGGAGAGGAAGGGAAA